GGAGAGAAATGAGCATCTTATCCCAACAACCTTACCTAACTGCTTTTCACGGGGCATTTCTTGCCAACTCACCAGTAATGTAGTAGACGTGTTTCTGGTTTTCCTTCATGCGAGTGCAGTAGTCCTTCAGAGAAACCATTTCATCACCAGATGCAGAAGTGTAATACCTGAGTAACTCAGAGAGTTTCTTGCGGTTCTGGGAGTCTTCATGAATACCAAGCTACAGAAGTAAGAGAAAGAACGACTGAAAGGCTTCCTTAAATAAATACTAAGCTGTGGGGTGCTCAGAATGTGGTACTAACAGAAATCTGTACCGTTTACAACGAAGATAAAGGAATACTACAAACCTTGATATTCTTGGAGAACTGCTCATAGAACTTTTTGTAGTTCTCCTTGTCTTCAGCCAACTCAGTGAAAAGTTCCAAACACTTCTTCACCAAGTTCTTCCGTATTACTTTAAGGATCTTGCTTTGTTGCAGCATTTCACGGGAAATGTTCAGAGGTAAATCCTCAGAGTCTACAACACCTCTCATGAAGTCTGGAAGGAAAACATCACAGTTAGCTTTGTAGGTTTTGAAGAACTAAGATTTACAATCACTACAAAGTGGCTTTGCTGCTCTGTATTTGAAATAGACTTCTACTCAATTTTCATACAAAGCAAGCAGTGCTTTCTTCAACTGCTCAGATACTTCGACTCTCAAGACTCTGCTTTTCTCCATCCCCATTTTCCTCTTTTGAACATAAACTCTGCTAGTTTCTCTAGGTATTTTCAGAAATATTCTTCTGCAGCACTCACTCAGGTACTCGGGGATCAGCTCCTCACAGTTGTCCATGATGAAAACTCTGCGCACATACAGCTTGATGTTGTTTTTCTTCTTCCTGTTTTCAAACAGATCGAAAGGTGCACGTCGTGGGACAAACAGGAGAGCTCTGAATTCCAGCTGACCTTCCACAGAGAAGTGCTGTAAAAAAACAAGACCATTTTTTAGAATTGCACTTTGTCTCTTAAGTAATGCTGACCTCTTCCACAAAAAAAAAAAAAAACAGCATTAAATGCAGTAAGCAAGATATTGGTCAGAAAAATGAGCATGTTCTCCAAAACATCATCTGAATTCTACTCAGCTGTTGCCAGGCTGTGAAACAACTGTGAACTGTGCAGCACCACCTTCATCCATGAAGGCCTGGAAAGGTTAACTGAACCCATGCTCCCATTTTTAAAACTGAACTACAAACCGAAACAACAGCTAGGTTTCTATTTGAGATCCACTTTCAAGTTTTGTAATTTGATTTTCCAACTAAAAAAACATTTGCATTTATATTTGCAATAAACAGAACCAAATGTATTTGTTGAAGATGCTGAACACAAGCTTCAGAAGTTGCCTGAGCAGCTGTAGCACAAGCATCTCACAATGTAAGCACTCTGAACAGTATCACTCCTAACAGTAAGCAACTTCTACAATACTCAAAACAATTTAGATGCTTGGCTTTAGTGGCAAAAAAAAATAGTGCTTATAAAAAGACAAACAAGAACATACTTTGACAGCCAAATGGTCCTCCCAGTCATTAGTTAGGCTCTTGTAGAACTCGCCATACTCCTCATTGGTGATGTCATCTGGATTCCTGGTCCAAATAGGCTTGGTCTTGTTGAGCTCTTCCTCATCAATGTACTTCTCCTTGATCTTCTTTTTCTTCTTCTTATCTCCATCCTTCTTTTCCTCTTCCTCGTCAGAGCCAACATCTTCAATCTCTGGTTTATCTTCTGTCTTCTCCTCCTTCTCCTCTTTTTCCTCCTCCTTTTCTTCAGCTTCATCATCACTCACCTCCTTATCGCGCTCCTTCTCCACCTATGAAAGAGAACATCACTTGGACCTCACATGCCACCTGTCACATTGAAAGCAAGTAAATAACTGCAGCCTAAGTAGGTAAGCAAACTGCAATTACATCTACAAACAAGCACAATGCCCAATTTTTGTCTTAGACTCGAACACTTGGCAGTGTTTCAGTACATGTGGTTCTATGGCAGTTCCGCTGTTGTACTGCATTGTAACGACTTTCCACTAAGAATCTACGCAAGCGCAGTTAAGTTTTGAACTGTTTGGAAACTGTGATGCTACTGACTTGGTTTTTTTTTGTTTTAGTTTCATCTTGTAAAATTAGTTCATTAATTAACAGCATCATGTCAGTTTAAGAGCTACACCCATGCAGAATCTGCAGCAGCAGAGCAATGTGGTATACAGACTGCCCATTTATATTTAAAAAACACATTTTCTAACTCCTGCTCCTTAATATACAGTATTTCAAAGTACATACGAAGAGCCTAATAGGGTAGCCAATGAACTGAGAATGCTTCTTCACAATTTCCTTGATCCGCCGTTCTTCTAGATATTCAGTTTGGTCTTCTTTGAGGTGCAGGATAACTTTTGTTCCACGGCCCAAAGGCTCACCTGGAATGAAATGTACAGGTAATACTTACACAGAAGCAAACCAAGCTGTGATAAACCCCAAATATTTGATTCAAACACCATACTCCTTCTAACAAGGATTTCTTTATCCCCAGCAAAATAAGATACTATACTAAAGCAAGCTTACAGATGACACATTCTTACTGCACTCAGCATTTTGCACATATTCCTTTTAAGAAAGATGTTTCAATAATTACTCTCTTCATCTGACATCTTCCAAACCTACACAAGCATTTCCATGTGTAATTTTAAAATAGCCCTCATTACCACACACTGTTTACTCCAGACATTCCCCTAGCACATCTTAACAATTACTCAAAATAAATCTGACTTGATACAACTGTTTTCTTCCACAGAGTAAGCAGGCATCTGAATCATTTGCTAATAACCTTTCAAGAACTGACCTGAGCAAAAACACTCACCATTATCGAGTCTGACAGTGAAAGATCCTCCAGCTGATGATTCCCAAGCGTACTGCTCATCATCATTGTGCTTGGTGATCACCGTCACTTTCTCCGCAACAAGGTAGGCAGAGTAGAAGCCAACACCAAACTGACCAATCATGGATATATCAGCCCCCGCCTGCAGTGCTTCCATGAAAGCCTTGGTACCAGACTTGGCAATAGTACCAAGATTGTTGACAAGGTCAGCTTTGGTCATCCCTATGCCAGTATCCACAATGGTCAGAGTACGATCATGCTTGTTTGGAATCAGGTTAATTTTCAGGTCTTTTCCAGAATCTAGCTTGCTTGGGTCAGTCAAGCTCTCATATCTGATCTTGTCCAGAGCCTATCAAAGAAAAGGCAAGATTTAGCATCCCCTACTTGGCAGTTCTATAAACATAAACCAGTCCAAGAGCCCAAATACTTACATCTGATGAATTGGATATCAGTTCCCTCAAGAAGATTTCCTTATTAGAGTAAAAAGTGTTGATGATCAGAGACATCAACTGAGCAATCTCAGCCTGGAAGGCAAAGGTCTCCACTTCCTCCTCCATTGGTTGGTCCTGTGTTTGCACAGCTTCCGGCATCTGTGAAGAAATAAAGGTGAAATTCAATGCTTAACAACTCTAGCTTGCTGCACATACAAACTTAAAGGTACTCTGAATTCAAATCATTAGCTATGTAGTTTTAATTACTGTAGCAGTAAGGAACTCAGAGAAAGAACCCGAGAGTTCTGAAAAAATGTGAAACTAAATGGGGCTTTAACCACATGCTTTTAACGTACGCTTCAGTTTGCAATTTTACCATTTTACAGTAGATTGCAGGGAATAAAAATGGAACTGAAAACCTGGCCGGATATTCGGGATGCGAACTGCGCTATTCTACAGGCATCTCACATTAGCACTTGTACTTGCTCTCTTTCTCCAGAGCTGCCGTTCTGCTCAATGAACGACGACCACTGGCTCGCAGGACTCGCAGCACTCAGCACGCACTGAACACATTCAGCCCAAATGAACACATTACCCGGTCGAACAGAGATGTTTTCTCTCAGGAAGGTCAATCACAACTCCAACCAAAAAAAAAACAAACCCCAACCTCAGCCCCGTTTTAAGTGGCGTACAACGAACAGAAAACAACCACAGCACGGCAATCCCGCCCTACACCGGCAGCGAAGCGAGCGCCAATGAACGCTACGGGCGCAGCCGCCTCCATACGGGACGCGGCGCCTGGCGGCACAGCCGGCCCTGAGCGCCCCCTGCAGGCTCCCGCCGGAAGTAGCGGAGGTTCTAGAAACTGCCAGAGCCTTCCCGCCGCCCCCCCCGCCTCCACCCACAGCCGGCAGCGGGGCGCAGCGCGCACCCCGCCCGCCCGCCCTCCAATGCCGCCATCCGCGGCTCCAGCATCCCGCGCAGCGCCCTGCCTATACGGCTGGGATGGACCGCCTTCCCGGCGCCCTCAGCTCTCGCCCCGGTGAGAGAAAGCCTATCTACACGGAGAGCCCTTGGGGAAACGCTTCCTCCAGCAGCGGCCGAAATGCCCGCCAGGCGCTGCCCGCCATGCCGTAACTCGCCTCACAGCCCCGTCGGTAGCAATAAATTATCACACGGGTCGCAGCACACCGCACCTCCCCGCTCCACCTCCATTGTACATTCCCGACTCCCTCTACCACACGTTTTAACGACAAGTTGAAAAGGCGTCTCGCACCACGCGGCTCCCGGCCCCCCCCCCCCCAGCCCGCAGTACCGCCACACAGACGCCGCCAGAACGCCGCACGAAAGCGCCCTGTCAGCGCAGCCCCCCCTGAAGCCCAGCTGCAGCTCCGCCGCCGCTCACCTCAGCAGCAGGGATGGGCTGTCGGTCACCTCAAAGAATCAGCAAACGCTCTCTACCCTCAGCGCTGCGCCTCCACTAGTGCGCGCCCCCGGCCGCCCGCCCGCCTTATATACAGCCGGCGCCGCCTCCTTCCAGAACCATCGGGAACCTTCACTGACAGGCACGGGGGAGGGGGCGGGGGGGCGGGGCAGAGCGCCGCTACGGGGCGGGGCCGAGCCTCGCTCAGCCAATAGCAAGGGGCCGCGAAAGGACGCCGTCAGAGCGCGGGGCTAGCGCGGGCGTTCGCCGTTACTTCAGCCATCGGGGTGAGGGCGGGCTCCGCGCCTGCGGAGCGAGGGGTGAGGCGGTGCGCGCGCTCCCTATTCGCTCAAGCGGCGGTTCGGCTCTACGGCCGGGGAGGGGCTAATCGGGCGCGTGCGCGTGCGGAGGTGGCCGCTGAGGGGGGTGGGGTCGGCCTCGGGGCGGTTGTGCAAGCGGCGGTGACGTCATCGCGGCTCCGATCCTCATGGAATGTCCTAGAAGGGGCCGCGCTGCGCGCTGCTGCGGCGCGGGCTCTAGAAGGGCTTAGAAGGCGCTGCGCTTACCTTTCCCCGGCCCCCCACCGCCTTCAGAAGAGCCCAGGAGTGGGGTGCGGGCTGGGAGCCGCCCGTCTTCTCTCGGAACTCTGTGCGCCGGGCGGCTCCTGCTGAGCCGGCTGTGCAGGTGGCTGCGGCTCCCCTCGGGCGGGCTGGGGCTGCCGGGCCGGCTGCGTGATTCACAGCGCGGTGGTGCTGTGTGAAGCGTTTCGCCTAATGGAGAAAGCAGAGCAGCTCCTCACAAAGCAGATGTTGGTCTGAAGGCTGAGCAAGGCTGTGCCTCTCAGTACGTCGACCTCTGTGGGATTAAAAGAGCTGAGGGATCAGTTCTGAGAAGCTCAGAAGGCCTACATAGGAATGCGGTTACCTCAGGGTTTGAGCTGTAACAGCAGATGATAGGCAGTGCTGTTGCATTTGTTAGATCCCAAAGCCTGAAACCCACTGAGGTTCCCAGGTTGTGCACGGTCATTGCTGCCTGTCAGTGGGAAGATGTGGCATTCAGAGGGCAGGCCTTTCTCCATTTATGCACTATGCGTGAAGTCTCTGGTGTCTGTCTCCTTACAGCGAGATGAGCACATCTAGCAAGGGGGCTATTTTTATATCCCGAACAACCTGATTGGGAGCGAGGCACCAAATGCAGGCCTTTGTGTCTCAGGAAAAGAATCTGCATCGAGTGTCTTCCAAGCTGCCTTCTGAAACTTTCCTCTTGGAGCTGATCCACTCCTGGGGATATAAATACCAAGTGAATGTACATGTTAAAACTGTTCAGAGATGGAAGCATCTCTGCAAGGAGAATCTCATTTCTGTAAAGCACAGCCATTTATTTATGTGAGGAATAAAAAGGATGCTTTTTCTGTAGCAAAATTCATCCCAGGCCCAGTTGTTTTGTGGGGTTTTTTTTTTTTTTTTTGCATTTCTTTTGTCTCTTGGGCATACTCCAAACATCTATCTAGGTCAGCATCTGACTGGCATGAGAATCTAATTTCTGTATGCATAACCTGCTCTTATTCCAGTTAAGCATCCTAAATTATGCTGGGTAGCTGTGAATTAGACGTTATGATCTTAGCTCTATGAATGCATCTAACTGAAGGTCCTTAAGCTGAGTCTGATTTTTTTGCATCCTTTATCCTGCAGTTCGACCTAAACAAACACCTGATTGAAGTGGGGCCTACAGGCTTGATTTTGTTGCAGAGCTGTGTCTCTCAGGGAATTTTCAGTCCATTTTGTTATCTTCTCTGACAAACAAGAAGATACATTAAGTATCTTATTAAGTAACTATGTTCAAGACTAGATGAGGAGTTAAAATTACGGCTCGCTTCACTGCAGTTTCTGCAGTATCTGCATCAGGATCTCGCTAGTGCAATGACTTAGAGGACCTTGCCCTTCTAAGCAGAGATGTTATACCAGCAACATAAACAGAGGGCCAAAATATGGCCTTAATTAGAAGTAAAAATTAATTGTAGTGTCAACAGTAATGCAAGATGATGTGACATTAGCTGCTGGTTAGCACACAGGAGAAATCAAACAGTGAGAGTGAAGCTATTTACTCAGTTTAAAGCTGGATTTCAGCCAATGCCCAGCCTAGAAAGTTCTTTGGTTCCACCCAGGCCACCTCATCTCTTTGGTGCTTACACTGGTTGGTTTTTTTTTTGCTTTACTCCTCAGCTCTGATTTTGCAGTTATTGTCAATGCGTTACTTTTTCTTTCTCTTGAACGCCGAAGTCTACAGAACAGTACAATCCAAAATCCTTTCTAGAGAGTTACATGTTCCTTCCATTGCACAGTGACTGCTTTCAGGTATACTTCAGCTGCTTTACTCATCTGCTTCCTTAAAGCAGCTTAATGGCTTTTATACACTGTGTAATAAAGTGTGACAGTTGTACCCGGAGTATCTTTAATGCTTTTCTTAGATACAAAATTGTCTTGATCTGGTATGCATTCTATATGACATACCTTTTAGGTTGAAACTCTTCAGATTCCATCAACTGAAATGTTTCCTCACCTGTATTTGGATCAAAATAACTGAGGTATTTTAGTGAACTGCTAAACTGTTACCATCTATGCACATCTCTCCAGTTCTTTTGTTTTGTGTAATATCCTACTAAAATTATTTACGTATCCAAAATTTTAAGATTGCCACTTTTATCAAAATATTAAACATGTTTTTCTTAAGTCTTTTACCTTCTCATCTCTTGACTAACATGCATTCAGTCGTTCAGATCTAGGGATATACTTCATGTTAAGCATATGAAGACCAGTGGAAGGTTTTACTTGTGGTTGGAATCACAGGCCTTCACATGGTCTGATGTCAACGTGACTGAAGTAACAATTCTGTTTTTCTTTGGTTATTGTGTTATTTAGCTTTCAAAAGCAGACTGATTTTTTTTTTTTTTCTTTCTAAAATTGTTTGGCAAAACCAATAGGAAAAGTAATCTCATAACAACTCATCGGAGTTTTCCAAGCTCTGCTTAACACCAGTCCCTGTCTGCCTGTATAAAGCTAATATTTTCTTCAGGAATTTTGAACAGTTCTGTATTCTTCTTCTGTTACACAGTGAGGGCTGGTGAAGACTGACATTTTGTTCTTGTGGTTCTTCTATTTTAAATGATCACAGTTTCATATTGCTTCAGATTTTGACTAAAGTGTTGCAGACTTGGTTTCTGCCAGTTCAGTTAATTTGGGGAGAAGATCTGTTCAAAATATTTCCCTTTTCTTAACTAAGAGAGTAGTATACTTTCGTGTGTTAACAAACAGTTCTAGTAATGGGGACATTGCTGAAGCCTGATATTTTCAAGTCCTTTGTTCTTGGCACATTCACACACAAGTTTGTTCTGTTCCACATCCCCCAGCCATTCTTACTGTCCCAAATCCATCATCCTTTGATTTACAGCCTGGACGAGAAGCAGCACGGTCTGTGGCTGCCACACACATGTGCTTACTGAGCAGCTGGCCATTGCCTCCCAGCTCTTAGGCTAGACAGACAGCGAGGATGAAGCTGGACACTCCTGTACCTTCCTTCAAAAGAGCCTACAAGAGGATGCATCTCTGCTACCTGCCTATTCATTTTCTAGGACTTCAACATCTCTATGATCTCTATTCCTTTGTTATTTTAAATTGAATTGCTTAAATAAGTCAGGATTACTAAGAATGGATTGATGGACAGCCACAACATTACAGCATGTTTCATTGCCTTAGGAAACTAGACTAAAATAATTCTTCCCTTTTGCTTCTCTCCCTCCTTTTTTTTTTTTTTTTATACAGACGTACCCAGCATTTGAGGAATGAGAACAGATTTTTCTTTGTTTTTCCTTATTTTTTTTAATTATATGGTACTAAAATAAATAACAAGGGGGACCTGCCTTTTATTCAGTGAGATCTCCTGCTTCAAACATTACTGTAAATGCAAAGACAAGGAAAAGACAACAACCACAATACTCAGTTTAATCCCAGGCAAATTATTGCCTTTTTTTGTGTCAGAATCTGAGCAAGTTCAGATTTGGTTCAGATTTGAACCAAATATTGAAGAACCAGGTATTTTAAAATCAAAAACTTTTAAAATCAGAATTGTTCCATACCAACAACACATGCTGTAATGTTTGAGAATGCTCCAGGGAGACTTAACTGTGGCCTTCTGGTACTTGAAGGGAGCTTATAAGCAGGAGGGGGACCAGCTTTCTTAAACAGTCTCATAGTGATAGGACAAGGGGTAATGGCTTTAATCTAAAAGAGGCAAGAGGTAGGTTAGATGTTAAGAAGAAATTCTTTACTCAGGGGGCAGTGAGGCCCTGGCACTGCTGCCCATAGAGCTGTGGGTGCCCCATCCCTGGAGGTGCCCAAGGCCCTGGGCAGCCTGAGGTGGGGGGCAACCAGCCCATGGCAAGGGCTGGAAATGGGTGGGCTTTAAGCTCCCTTCCAACCTAGGCTATTCTGTGGTTCTGCGATGCATTGCTTCTCTGTCTGCAAAGGCTGCAGTCTTGCATTTGCTGCTTTTCTAAGGATAAGCCCCATACCTGTTCCCTAAATACATTGCGTTTTATTAGAGGATTTAATTATGTAGTTTTATTGAACTTAAAAATTAACAAAGAACAAAGTAAAACATGCTGGAAGTTATTTAATATTAAAAGCATTGAAATAACACTCAGGAAAATTGGGTTTTATTGTTGGTTCTCCCACAGGCTTCTTTGGTGTTGCTGAATAAGACATTTTTTTAATATTATTTTTATAACCACAAAGAAATTAAATGAAATCTGCATAGAGGATTTTAATTCCAACATTTAACTAATCCTTGAGCGCTTGATGTTGCAGTCTCAGTGCTTTTGAAATTAATTCTGTCTGAGTTCTGAGACAGATTCGTCATGTTATCTCAGTGCTTCAGGGTTTTTCCTTATAGAAAACAAAACTGCAGCATCGAAATCACCCATACAGTAGTTTTCAGTAAACTGACATGAGTAGAAAGATGTGGAAATGTGTGTCTGGATTTCTTTAACGCATGGAATTACGCATGTAAAACCTGCGTTATCATAATGAGATGCAAAGCTGGCTAGGGATTGCTGGCTGAGCAAAACACCGTGCTTTCTTAAAACTGTTCGTCAGGCTGTCTTCTTTCCTACTTTCTCATGCCTTACTGGGAGCTGATCGTTAGGTCACAAAAGAAATGATTTGTAGCAGAAATAGAATCAATCATCACCTTCATATTTTTTGTAGTGGAAGGGTTCTTAAAAGGCAGAGAAGAAAATAGCTTCCTAAAATGTTGTCGTGCTTCTGAACTGTAGATGGCAGCAATAATTGTATGGAACAAGGGCAACATGTATGGAAACGGGCATCATTCGTGTAAAAGTGTATGGTTTTTCAAGTACGTGGTAAGAGTATGATAACAGCCAGTTGTTGCTCTCAGAAGGAATTCTGAAGGAACTTGTACTGTTCAAGAATACATTGGTTATAACAAGAGTCAACATTTCCAGTGCTAATACATGCCAAGCGTTAACTTACAAAAGCTCAGCTGCATAGAAGGGCTGAGAGAATGAGCATGGAATGTGGAAAGGCCTCAGCACGACTGTCTAATCTTAACATAAACCACTTCATATGCTGTTTCTTACAAAATAAATAGACTTTAATCAGTATAATTTAATATTTTAGGTTTGTCTTTGCATTCTGTTGTGACTGGAAAAAGAAATACTGTGTTGGAGTTTTACACCACATATCCATATTGTGATTTACACTTTCCCAGAACTGGTGCATAATGATGCACTTTCTAGCTGTAACTACACGTACAAACTTAGAGTTATATCTATGAAAACACAAAGGACATTCTTCCACAGGGTTACAAGTGCTTCTTTCCACTATCTGTTTCTGCTCTTTAAGAGCACTGTAAGAGGACTGCAGTACCTGTTCTCTAAAATGTGTGTTGTCTTGTCCAGTGTGAGACAAAAAAAAGCAGTACATACATTTACATGGTGTAGAGAATGACAGTAGAACCATCAGAACACTTTTAAAGCAATATGCAGTCAGGAACAGGAATGTTAGCTTTGTAACGAGAGGTATGGTCACAGCTGTAGCTTTAATATAGCTACAGTTAGGATTTTTATTTTTCCCATTTATGGGCCAAAGTTGCAATAGATCCTAACCTGGGAGAAAAAACTTGGAGGAAACAAACCTCTTCCAGAGAGCAGGTGGTTTGGCTGAGAAGCTTCAGACAGAATTCTGGACTTGCCATGAAGATACTAAAAAGTTGTGGTGGGAAAGTCACACCTCTAGGAAAATAGCAGAGCCTTATCAAGAAGTGTGGAAATAACCCGATACTTTTTCCCTGTGCATATTCAGATTATAAAAGCTGGATTCAGTATGACAGCACACGTTATAGTTTAGATGCAAGTTTCTACAAAGCTTTGAGAAATGACAGAAATTTAAAAAATGTGCAAGCTCAGTTCCATAAGGGACATTGTTAGCATTTACAACAGAAGTCCATAAAATTGATTCTTCTTAGTCTTTCAGGCTTGGGATATCATCTTTAGAATCATTCTATACTTTTAAGAAAAACTGATTTAAATCTGTGACAGGATCTGGGAGGAGTTTGTAGCACTTGGTTGATAGTTTTGTTTTTTCACATTTCAGACTTGGAACTTCCGTTTTACTGCAGATACTTTTAAAGAAGAAAGATTCTAAAATTATGGACTACTTGCAGGTAATAATGGGTTAAGTCTTCACATCTGCCTGTGATGAACACTGTGTTTATGTGCTGTTTAATGTTATTTTTCTTCTGTCAGATCAAAAGATGCCTTTCTTAGGGGGAAAGAGTGAAACAGGACAGCCCTGAATGTCAGCTTTCTCTCCAAAAATGAAAAAAAAAAAAAAAAAGCAGCAGTAAGATAATCTTGATTAAAGCTGACTATGAATAGGAACTTTGAGAAATTTTGTCAAGAACTGCATGAGTACTTGATTAATCACACATACATTTATCTGTAGGCTATGCTACAGGAAACAGGCATGGTGAATTACAGGGAAAGTCAATTTTCATCTCTTTCAAAGTGATGTTTCCTGCCACAGCGAGGCAAATCTCCTGCAGTAACTTTGCCATTTATACTGAAATCCTGCTTTGCTGTCAGATGAGCTGAGGGTATTCTTAGCCAGTTAATGTGAATGTCAGTATAATGCAGCTGCTCTACAGTGCCTTACATTATAAAAGTAGGACAGACTAGAATTATTAGAAGTCACCAGGTTATTTGTAAATCAGAGCAGTGCTGGTTGGTACTTGTCAGTAGATAGTTCTGACTCTTTTTTCTATCCCAGAGACTACTAAAAAAAGTCGTTTCAGATTCTGAATGGCCAGGTAAGCTATATCTCCACATTATCTGGATTAGATATGTCTGGAATAGTGAAAGTAAGATTTCTTTGTTAAATTTAAGTTACTTAAAAAATTTGTTTAGTATTTAAAATAAAAATGGCAAGTTCACTTTAACCAGAACAGTTCTTTATTATAAAATAAAAATATAAAAAATTGATGATCAAATGCATATTCTGTGCCTTGCTTTTGCTCTTTTAGAGTACATCTACAAATGTGAGTTGCAAGAAGTAGTAAAGGATTGGGATAGTAGAAGAGATTTCTCATCTTCTTTCTTTTCCAGGGCATAGCTGTTCTTTCTAATGAGTTACCTAAGATTATATTTCCTCAGATCATTTGGTCAAAATGAGGTATCTGTCCCTTACCCATAGTTCCGTGGAACTTTTTCAACTTTCTTTGTCTGATAGAAATGCAGTTTTGAGTTTATGCCAAATATAACCAGAATGATTTGGCTCCATTCTCCTTACTTGTCTAAGATGGAATATTACAGTGGTCTGTTATTTTCACTAGGAACCTCTGCATTCACATCCCTGTTCTGTTCTTTAATTTGCATGTTATTCCCATCTTCACTGACTTCCCTGCATGTCAATGCTTTTTTAGGACTATGGGTCATTACAGGTCATATGAGAAGCATTTCCAACCCCACTTTGCATTTTCATGGAGTTCATTCATGAAAATAATACTGACTCACCTGGTATTCAGAATGTTTTTCTAAATTGCTTTCTGCTCATCTTTTGTCAGTTTTGGAGCTAAAACTATAAACTTGCTGTTTAAAAGACATAATTACTACAATGGTCAGTGTCAACCAGACTTCTTTGGCCATAAATGTACAGCTCTATGGTATATCAGTATAAAATATATATTCAAAGTTTATTACTTTACCCACATAATTAGGATGTTCAGCTACAAATCTGTATTTTCATAGTCAAATAGTCCAGGTTTTAACAAAAGTACCAGCTGTGTCTGACCATACTCACCAGCATTAATGTTAGTTTTATAAGATATCCTCTAAGTTGTGAAGTGAGAAGATAGATAGACTGGTAAAAAGTATAAATATGTAGATAATTGTCTTAAAGTGATCATTAGGAAGAAAAATCCAGAAATTATCACACACAAAATATAGAATCTTTCTTGTAAACATTAATGCTAACAGTACAAAGACAGCTTAGTTACTGCTCTACTAATAGCATCTGGGAATGCTGCAAGGACATTAGGTATTCAGCTAGTGTTTCCAAGTGTGTACTATTAGCATCTCAAACAAGACACTTACAGAGAGTGTAATTGGATAGCTGATGAATTGAGAATGCTCCTTCACAATTCTTTTGATTTGCCTTTCTTCCAAGTGTTGTCTTTGGTCTTCTTTAGGATTTAAGATAATCTCTGTTATGCAGCAGAGAGGTAACCCCTGAATGAAATCTGAAAGTTTTAGTAGGCACAGGTGGCCAAACAGTAAGTTCTTTCTGAAATTAAGGATCAAGATTCTCTTGCTATGAAATCTATGAGAATATCCCTGAGAATGATGAACTGATGCTGTATACCTATTCTGTGATGCAATAAACATAACAACTACAGATAGTACAGCATTTCACTTTCCCTCAATTTTCAGAATCCTATGAAGTGCAGCAGCATACAGCAACACGCGCACGACGAAAATGATTTGATATGGCAGAAGTTCATTAAGCTTGACCTTTTTCTTCAGATGGTAGACTTAGTAAAACTGAAATGCAGCAGTGTTGTAATGTGTGATTCTATCTTTATTCTTTTGCTATACGAATTTCAGTCAGTGGTTGTTACCCAGCAAAATTTGCTGCTGAAGTTAGAACTGCTGTTCTGTTGTGCACCTGTGCTCCTGCTGCTGTTTTGCAACAAACTTGACATTAATGAGCTACGAGATGGAGAACAATGAATTCAGTTCACAATCGTTTATCATTATTAACAATGACAGCAAGAGAGCCTTGCACTGAAGGTGATATACATACTGCTATCATTTTGCTTTGTGACCCCAGCACATTTGCAGTCAGGAAGGCAGAGAAGAATCGAAGCTCAAACAGAGCAGTCCCGGAGCTATCAGCACAATACATGTTTCTACGAAAGCTTTAGTGCCAGCATTCACAGCAGTGATGGAGTGGGCTTGAATTGTCCTGTGCCTGACTACATGATGGTGAGAATACAGTTGTGCTCACTGAGTTGGGCATGCCCAGGACCCAGCTAGTCTAGATCAATAAGGGCCACCAGTCTGATTTGGTTCAGAAACCACAACAAAATCAGGTTTGAGCTTTCTCAGGCTGTACATAGGAATTCAGCTGTATTTTACCAGCTGAGTCACAATAATATCTCAATTAAGTACATCCAATGCATTGCAAAATGGCTCCCCCAAAAAGCTTCCTTTTTGAAGTAGAAAGTGTTGATGAGCATCTACTGGAAGGCAAAAGTCTTTCTCTTTTTGTCCACTGGCTGATCTTGAGTTTGTGCAGGTTCAGTGCTAATAGGGTAAACAGGACTGAAAACTCACTGTGTGTATATACATACAAACTTGACTGTGGCGTACAACTTCTTAAATTGACTGGAAAAATACAAATAATTTTGGGTGTATGTTTTGAGAGTGAAAGAAGAGCATAATTGTTGTTACAGATGTATTATTCATACTTTATATTTTGGACTTGAATTCTCTGATTTCTAATTTCTTGCTTAAGGTAAAGGCAGCATAAAATGAATAATTGTTTAATCAGGAGGAATTTAGCAAGCTTTTTTATGTAGTCAGGTTATGTCATAAAGCAAGAAAAGTAATCATGTGATTTGGCTTATTACCACTAATTAATTTCCATTTCCATTTTGGGACATTACAGAGTTTAAATTTTACAGTTACTACAGAAAAACAGACACTGGAGATTCTTCTCAGTCTCCTTTAGCAGAAACATTACCTGTATTGGAATGCTCTGATGTAATTGAACTTAATGAGCACGTGAGATTTTGGGGGAGAATAAGAAGTACTGGCCTAGCTGCTATAATGAATATTCCATTCAAGTTAGAATAAGACTGCAAGGAAACATTTTCCTGAAGGGATACGCCACACAGTAAAATCCCTCCTGTTTAAAGATAACTACCTCTGAAAGTGTCTAAATGTGTAGATTTCCCCTTTAGGATGTGTTTATATTTAATGTTCCTATTTAAGGTATATTTAAAGTCTCCTTTATTCACCTTTTTTGAACAAAGTTTGTGAGAGACTTACATCTCACCAGTAGCGAGTGCTATTTTGTCCACAGTTCTCTCCAGCCACAGCTGTGAGAAGACAAGAAATGGAACACGTTATGGTTTAGGCTATCTAGAATGATTTAGAATATTATGATAAGATTATGTTTGAATTTTCCAAGGGAATTAATGGAAAGAAACCTACTGTAGTCACATTTCAACTTGCCTTAGCAGAGCAACTAATCTTCATCAGCCAGGTCTGGCAGTAAAAGATTGACTGTTATCACTCATTTTTCTGCAGTCTACTCTATGCAAATAACCTTCAAGTCACACTTTTAAATAAGTCCATCACTTGCTTGAGACATGCAGTGGGAGAGGGAGTGTAAAGAGAAACTGAATAAGACTTACTAAGCATGGAGCAAGTCAGACTTCCAGTTGGACAAGTACTTAGCATGCATTTATCTGATACACTGTATATCAAAGGCTGACTGGGTTTTCTAACCCATGTGTTAGAAGCAAGCAGCCTCCTCATTTGTTATCTAGAAACAAACATCCTGATTCTGCACTTCAAAACAACTTTTATGCCTACAGCAGGTATGTAAAAGGCTACATACTAAAAATAATGTTGACTTACATCAGTCTTGCATAAATATATATAGTTCTGTAAAAGCTAACCTTACAGAATCACGGGATAGTTAAGGACGGAAAGAACTGTGTTGGAGGTCATCTCATCCCACCTCCCTGCTCAGGGAGGATCACTGAGACCAGGCTGCCCAGGACCACAGCAGCTCCTCTGAAAGGAACCCACTGATGGCTGTCATTCCTTCTCAGTTACACAAAGTGTATCACAACTGTGTCCAAGAAATATACTTAAAACTAAACCTTCTGCTGCAGCAGTGGAGATAGATGAACAGACTCTGCTTTGTCACACATCACCTCAGCTCGAAGAGCACTCGAAGAAAAGAAGAGAAGGATGCATCTGTTTGTGAATGGCTAAAGTGCATCGTAGGACTGTTCATATTTGTGAATGCAAATTAAGATAGTAGCACTTGCAAGATGAATCCATTAAACAGAAGTAAAGCTTAGAAACTATGTTAATGTTATACTAATGAGGATTCCTTCTTGGTGCTCGCACTATTGCTGCTGTGACAAAGAGAGAAAGGAATGTGGGTCTCCTTGTATGTCCCACCACTTACCTAAGAGCTGGAATGTGGGAGTTCAGCATGAAGTCTTTCGGGTTTGCAGTGCAGTTAGAATTCACCAGATGGGGCTAATAGAGCAAATATAAATATTCTCTATAGAAGTCAAGTCATACTGAAGAAACCGCATGTACTTACATACATGGCACAGCAGTTATAACCTTCCAAAAGTCTGTTTTAAAAAATGTTAATCTTCATAGTGAATTCATTATTTACAACAGATATTTTATTTTGATAATTTAAAATATTTGATTTTTTTAAACAAATTAACTATTTCAACAATTCACCACCACCAATATCTGACTCAGGAAATATGTAGGTTTCTTATTTATATGTATATATATATTAATCTCTAAACTACTACGGAGCCACAAATGTAAGAAGGGAAGTTCAAGCTTATAAATCCATATGGCTTTCCTTTATGATATGGTGCATGACTGATTTTGTCTTCCAAGTCCATCTCTCAGATTCAGTTTCATGTGGAGACTCTGAACATACTTAGACATCACAGTAAAGTTTTAATTAGCTGATTAAAAAAAAAAAAAATGCTGCATGCACTGTATCTCTGAAATGACCTTATCTATGTCACATCATCAAATCAGAATGTTATTATTGAAAACTGAAGTACTTGCCTATGTCAGACTGCCATTCTTTATATTCTGCCATGTCTTTAATAAGTGATTCTATTGCTTTGCCATCCGTGGTAACAGAAATACATTAAAATCTAGCATGTATCTATCCCGTGTTTGATTTTAGTATGATAAACCTACCTACGAAAATAACAATGAGCAAATATACTTCAGATGGCATTTAACTCAACCTACTGAACAAATATTGGCAAATGACATAAATCGTGTCACTATGTCACACCATGTCACAGAAAGATGGAGGTAAAAGACAAGGAATATCACATTACTGTGCATACTTGATTAAATGATTACTGATAAGTATATGTTAGCTAAGAATATAATGTATGATCTGAATAAGGATGGTAGTTTCAGGTGAACAAGAAAAGCAGGAACCCAAGAGCCTCATCTACTTAGGTAGCTTCCAAACTTGTACTTTCTTCAATAATCGCATCACTTACAATAGGAGAAAGAGAGTAAGAGAGAAACTGAGCAAGTTTCACTACACATGGAGCAAGTCAGACTTCCAGTTACACAAACATTTACAGTGCTGAAAGCTTCAGTGCTGATAATTTTGTATGATCTAAAATGTATATGTGCTAAAATTGTAAGGTACATATGTTAATGAGAATAATGAGAATACATGTCATAGCAAGAAATCTCCATTCTCTTCAGCCAATCCCTCTTCACGTTGCCTTGTAGATCACAAAATCCCTACCATAAAACTATAATTACACTTTGATGTAAAAATAGTATTGGGAAATTTTGTCTAAATGGTTACATAGTTCTACTCACCAATCTTCCAGGTCTCAGATACGAGTAAGTTCTGGACACAGTGGATGTCCAAGACTTGTGAATTTAACTTACGACCTTGCCTTGCAAATGAAAGTAATGAAAGTCGTGAGCATGACCATAATAATGACCATAATGAAGTCAGCACATAATCCAGAGAAATGAGCTCTCCTTTCTATAAACATGAAATGATTCAACTAGCATTGAATGAACAGCCTGTGCTATACAGCATGCAAAGCACTTTTGCTTCAGTGGGCCCATAAAAAGTTCCATTAGAATATCATCTATCTAAGATTTCAGTCTTTCAATTGAAACAATTTGAAGCCAGTCATTCAGGCTATGGAACTGAAACAGCAGTGGTGACACTGATGAAGAATCTTTGAAAAATTGAGAGAAAGCAAATAGCCGTTCTTTCAGTTAGGATCTTTGCAGCATGTTTATTTTGAGAAAACACTGTCTTGTGAAAAAGCTGATAAAAGAATGCAGAACATGCTAACAAGCTTTCAGATCCTCTTTGAGAAATACACCAAAGCACCAAGAGAACAGCTCCATTAAGATGTTCTTAGCTTGTGGATTTCTAGATTAATCCTCTCCTCAGTCTTCTTCAGAAATGAAGTTTGAGTGCCAGCAAACAGAAGAATAACAATTTTGCTGTTGCCAAAGTACTAGACCTAGGCAGTAAGCAGTTGAGTAGTCAGGACAGACAACCCATCCTCTAACAAGCAAGCCTTATTTGAAAATGTGCACTATTATGCAAAACTGAGACAGAAGAACCATGGAGTTGCTATTAAAAAGATCTCATAATCAATTAGGTAAATGGCCTGGAGGGACTGGGGAACCTAGAATAAATTTGTTTTAGGCTGGTAATTATCGAATTGTAGAATCATAGAATGGCTTGGGTTGGAAGGGACCTCGAGGATCATCAGGCTCCAACCCCCCCATCACAAGCAGGGCCACCAGCCTCCACATCTAATACTATAGCAGGCTGCCCAGGGCCCCATCCAACCTGGCCTTGAACACCTCCAGGGACGGGGCATCCACACCCTCTCCGGGCAGCCATTCCAGCACCTCACCACTCTCATAGTAAAGATTTCCCCCTGACATCCAACCTAAATCTGCCCTCCTTCAACTTAAAACCATTACCCTTGTCCTGCTTGTAATGCTTCCCTTTCCATTGCTGTTACAGTCTGTTCTTTCCAAGGACGCTTTTCTCAGATTTCCTGTTCTGCTTAAAGGAGATTTAAATCACACAATGGCAGCCAGGTTTCTTTTTAATTTGCGTGGCTGACTAACTGTTAACTAACTGTTGTTCACGCCAACTGCAAGTTGCTTGGCTGACATGCAAAACCTATCAATAAACATGTACAATCACAACACGATCACCAAGAAGACTTGCTCAATAAAAACCAGCTGAATGAAACAATATTTACATACTGAATATTTTGATGCTTCAGTTACAAACATGAGTGGCTACTGCAAACTGCAATTTAGGCACATTCTTGGCCTTCCTGATGGCACTAACTTCTCACACTACAGCAATGATAAGCATCGCTGTCTAGAAATACCAGTTTTGTAAGCAACTCAGTTATTGCTACTGAACAATGATCAGACTTTGCTTATTCACAACTCTGTCATTCCTCCCTTGGATTCCAGCAGTACATATGTATGGATAAATGGTCTTCCATATCTAGAGAATTTTGAGAAGCACATTATGCTGCAGCACATTTTACAAACACAGCTATTTGCAGGCTTATCAAACCAGTCTTTCCAGCATTCCACAGAATTTAAATTAAGTTCTTAATATCAGCCTTGCCTTCAGAGAACATAATTTAGGGGGTAGCTAAGACTTCAAGATAAGAACTGTTTTTGTCAAGAACAGCAGTCTCCACTATGGAGGTAAGCTAGTCTGTTTAGGAGCTAACTTTCAGGGAGCTGACTGCAAACACCAAAATGAACTCATTCTGAAACACAACAGATTTCACTGTCACTCAGTTCCAACTGCAGAGCAAACTCTTCTTTTACATAAATGTTTTTTCTTTCTTTAGATATCCATTTATTTTTAATTAATAAACCCCCAAAGCTATGAAAACATATTTTTTTTTCACATACTTATTCTCTTAGGGAGAAACAACAGCACAAAACCACAATGTATTCTAGCTGAGTAAACACCTACATGCTTTTCTAACACCCTTATGTTTTGTAATACATATCACAATGCATTATCAGATTTATTTAGAGTTGGTAGCTATGAAGAAATTCTTAACACAAATACAGAGTTCAGATGTGCTGCTTACATACGTGTGTATACCTGTGCCTGCTAGTAATTCACACACATCAATCATTTGGTAAGAAGTAACATATGCAAAGTTTTTGATACTCTGAAGTTGGTCACCCATTAAGTATCTACTTTCTTTTTGGCATCAGTAGTCCAAGCAAGACATGACAGACATACTACAGTTGATCAGTACTCCAGAAATGGGCTCCTGATTTCTGCCTCATAATCTGCTGGCAGTGCATACCAGAAGAGATGCTTTTAGCATGATGGAATAGGGTGGAGTCACCTTTTTTTTTTTTTTTCTTTTCCCCTCAATAGTGCTGATAAAAGCATCACTGAAAGGACCACTGATCTCAGCTGTTGCACTTGCAGTGAAGTAACAGACGACATTCAAATTCAAACATAGAAAAGTTTTGTTAATAACTATGCTTGGATCACCTAAGTTGTAAGGTTCTCGTTTTCTCAAGGCCAGTAAATGCACTATTTATAATGCAGCATGAAAAGCTGTAGAACCAACTTATGCATCAATTTCAGAAAACCATATTCTTTTATTAATGTTAGTGAATTTTGCTCATGTCTGCTTTCCAACTTACCAAAACATCTGCAAGAATTACAGGCACAATACAGCAGTGATTCTGACTGACTTTTATTCATGGATTGTGCATACAAAACAACACATCTATGGGTGTCCTAATGGGATCATTTCAGAACTATAATCTTTGGTTCTCTTGAAACAGAAGAGTTTACAAGTGCTACAGATAACTTTTTCATAAGGCTGATCACTGTAATCTTTTTTCCCATTCTTTAAACAACTATTTGGTAAGGATTGTTGATGGGGCTGTACAATAGCGTTCTTGTGACTTGCAGCTGTGTTTTTTGAATGAATATTTGTCTTGGATTCTCTGTGGAATCTCTCAGCAGCTTTTATTGACGTTTCTTGGTAAATGTTAAACACTGCATCAATTCTTTGGCTTTCTGCACAATCACGTACTGCTGATAACCAGGTACATGTTCACTTTATTTATTCTTTGGATCACACTCATTCCATTAGGTGACAGATGGCCTGCTATGGTTTTAGTACAGTTTGCATTCCACACAACCCCTCCGTTAAAATTTCCTACTTAGTTTCTTGAAGTGTTCTACTCGGTACTGTCAGTGTGCCATGAATAAGATATTCTGAGCATGTCAACTTGGAACAACTTTTTTGGGGG